CATTGAGTTTGAATCTATTGATAGCCCTTGTGTTATTATGGTTGAAATTAAAGTGCTCATTTACAGGTAGGATGTTTTGATAAATAAGTTTATGAACTAAGCTTAGGTCGGAATGTAGACGGCGTAGTTCGAGGCTATCCAGGCCTAAAATTTTCAAGCCTGGTAATATAGGGAATTTTATTTCAAGCAGAGGATTTGAGTACTCTTCTAGTAAAATATCTCTGGATCCTCTCTAATGTATTGATGTCTGAAATACAGTGAGGTTCCAGGCAGGTTAGCAGTATTCAAGTATAGGTGTGGCAAAAGTTTTGTATGCCCTAGTTTGAAGTATAGAATTACCAGAGAGAAAACTTCATAAAATAAGATTGACAACTCTTAATGCCTTTTTTGTAATGATGTGTAAATTTTGTAAATTGGGTTTGCTCACTACATAAAAATCCTATCACAGGGACCTTATTTGTGTAAAATGTCCATGCATAATAAAGTTGATTGCAGTAAACTAACCAAGCTGTAAATTGTACCCATCTCCAAACTCATACGATGCTTTCCAGTTTCAGGACTGATTTATTTAACATCACTGGCCCAATAGTGATTTTTAGCCACTCTCTTTAGTGTATATGTGCATCTTTCCATTCAAATTCTATTAGACATTTAGGTGAAATATTGAATAGTGTATAGTTTTCCTTTGTGTCCCTCCAGCCCTCAGGCATTTAATAAGTTTTCAACTGTGTGGACCATGAACAAGTGACACATGGAAACTCATGCACAAGACTTGGGAGTGCAAAGTATTTGGAACCTGTGAGACTCCTCACTCTGATAGATTGCAAGGCCTCTGACTCCTATTTAAACTTCTATGGTTTTATAGAACAGGTGTAAAACATAAGAAGTGTGCAAATTATAGCCTACTTAGGCCAGTAGTCTATTTACCATGAAATGTTTGTAGGAAGCCCACAAACAGGCAATAGCATCCTCACGCTTCCTAGAAATACACATTTGAAGCTTTCCCCTTAGACATCAGAGATAGAAAATAACCACCACTGTGGATAGTCATCCCCGTCATGAATTTGTCTGGTCTTGTCTAAAAGTCATCCCATTGATCCCATGGAATTGTAATAGACAATTTCAGAGTGTAACCAAGGACACTATGAAGAAGTTCTTTTTATTTTTTAAAAGTTCTACCAATCTTCACTGGATGAAACTGAATAAAGAGGAAAAGAAGCCTTTCCACATTGTATTTTTACACTAAGCATAATTTTACAGAACTCAGTGATGACGTTTTCAATGTTTAATTTATCTATAGTCCATTTGGGAGGAAAATGATTGTTCTAAATTTGTTGATTTGCTTACTAGATTGATTGACTATACACCCAATAATAATGGGAACCAACATTTTTAACAGCATTAAAACTAGAATTACATTTGGTGAATTTATTATCATCTCTTAGCTCAAAATAAACTTTCTCTCTTTCTTTTCCCTCCTTCACACGCCACATGAATAGGTTTTTTTTTCTGAAGATATAGCAGTCAGCTGGGTTTTTCAGATGATTCTACTTTTGTTTGCTTGTTTTTACTTCTATTTTTAACAATAATTCAACTTCCCTCAAGCAGAATACCACACTACTTCAAGTTAATGAGTTTGTCTATTCTTTATTGTCAGCTGTTGGCTAGCTAAGGTTTATTTCCTCGTTTTATCTCCTTGTTGTCTCTTGCTTGCTCAACCTAAGCTTGCTCAACCCAAGCTTCAGCTTTGTATTTTGTTATCCTTCCTCCTTCCCAGATGACAATTTGCCTGTGCTGTCTATTCTTATTTTTGTAAATTTCTGTATATCCCCAGAAATACATTATTCTAGGACCAGAAAAGTTGCAGGGAACACAGCCTTTCTGCATCAGTTGGACTACCTAACCGGATGGTAGTAAAGATTTCAGATATAATGTATAATAACTATTCTGCACAGTTTGAAATCCTGGGGGAACATTAAAAATTGTTATGCACTAGTACTCCTACCACCATTCATAATCCCTATGTATTTTTTCTGTTACACAACCAAAGTTATACAAAGCTGTACGCATTTCTAAAGGCAGTGTACCAAGAGCATTTTTATTCCATAAAACAATGTGAAATTAGCCTGTGATAGTTTTCCCTTCTCCTGATTCTGAAAGTAAAGGAGCATGCAAGAAACACTATGAGTTGATCCATGTGCAGCTTCCAGGTAACCAGAAAAAGAGTGCAAGATGCACAAAGTGATCCCTGCCATGCCCTCTGAGATGCCACCAATCTTTGAAAGCAGAGTATTTGCTGGTTGGGCTTCTAGAATCCCAGATAAAAGTTTTCTGCTGTTAATCTCTGCTTTTCTGCATATTGATTGCTGGGAGAGGGGAGAGGTGTCCCAACCAGCAATCAATACCCAGATGAACAGAGATTATCACCAACATTAACATCAGGCCAAAAAGAAGTAAACGATACCCCAATCAAGGAACTGCCAAACAAGCTAACAGTAAAGAACCAAAGAACCACTGAGACCACTCCCAATCAACACTGACAGGGCAAATGACTAGAATATAAATTGAGACCAAATTCTACTCTCTCCCTAGTTCTGATATCTCAGGGGCTGCCACAAAGAAGAGGGAGTCAAGCTATTCTCCAAAACACCTGAAGGCAGGACAAGAAGCAATGGATGGAAACTAGTCAAGGAGAGAAGCAACCTAGAACTAAGGAGAAATTTCCTGTCAGAACAATTAATCAGTGGAACAACTCACCTCCAGAAGTTGTGAGTGCTGCAATATTGGAAGTTTTTAAGAAGAGATTGGACAACCATTTATCTGAAATGGTATAGGGTTTCCTGCCTAAGCAGGGGTTGGACTAGAAGACTTCCAAGGTTCCTTCCAACTCTGTTATTCTATTCTATTCTATTCTATTCTATTCTATTCTATTCTATCCTATCCTATCCTATCCTATCCTATCCTATTCTATTCTATTCTATTCTATTCATATCATACACACACACACACACACACACACACACACACACACACACACACAGCAAATCTACTTTTCAGACCAGGGATTGGTTCTACTTACCTTTACTACTGGTTCACAACGGGGCCGCTTGCACACGCGCACACTCTTCTGCTCAAGCACAGAAGCATTTTGATGATGTCAGGGTCAGTGGGCGGAGCCTCCCGCCAGTTTTACTACTGGTTCTATAGAACCGGTGAGATCCGGGGGCAACCCTCCACTGTTTCAGACTCACCAGTTGTGGAATTCAAGTTTCTTCTTTTAAAGAAATCACACAACGGACATTTCACTATAAGCAAATTCGTGGCCACTTAATTGGTTGGGGAAGAAGTCTCAAGCTATAAATAGATCCAAATTGTTCTTCCCCCTTGCCCACAAAGTCCTCTGCCCAATCCAAATCCCTGGCTTTCTACTGTTCATCTCTTCTTTGAGGATTCTAGCATCTCTGCATTTTATGCATTTTTTCCCATAACAGAAATAAAGCATTGTCTTAATCTCAGGAAATCTTGTCCCTTCCCAATCCCTCAATGTATTTATGTGCATTTGTCTGGTGGCTCAGAAGGGGAAAAAATGCTGAGAAGTGGCTATGATGGTAAGCTATGTGAGGCAATGTTGATGGTTAGAAAAAAGTAAAATAAACAAAAGCATTAACATTTTCTGAAGGCTTTCCAGAATGCTTGCCACTGTTCCTCTATTGCAGAGGTCTTCAAACTTGGCAGCTTTAAGATTTGTGGACTTCAACTCCCAGCTATGCTGGCTGGAGAATTCTGGGAGTTGAAGTCCACAAGTCTTAAAGCTGACGAGTTTGAGGACCCCTGCTCTATTGCATTGAAAAGCCCCTGTAAATTGTAAAGATAATATGATGAGAAATGGCAATTTAGGAACAAAATATACAGAATAGAATACAGAATAACAGAATTGTAAGGAGATCTTCTAGTCCAACTCCCTGCTCTAGCAGGAGCCCTATGCCATTCTCTACAAATGGCTGTCCAATATTTTCTTTAAAATCTCCAGTAATGGAGCACCCATAACTTCTGGAGGCAAGCCATTCAACGGGTAAATTGTTCTCATTGTCAGGAAATTTCTCCTCAGTTCTAAGTTGGATCTCTCCTTGATAAGCTTCCATCCATTACTTCTTGTCCTACCCACAAATGCTTTGAAGGATAGCATTTCTCTGTGACAGCCTCTCAAATATTGGACAACTGCTGGTTACCCTGGTCCTTATCTTCATTAGATAAAGCATACTCAATTCCTACAACCATTTTTCACATGTTTTAACCTCCAGACCCATAATCTTATTTATTTATTTATCAAATTTCTATACCGCCCTACTCCCGAAGGACTCAGGGCGGTGAACAGCCAAGATAAAATACAGATAATACAAACATTAAAAATCCATTAAAATTATTAATTTTTTTGGCCAAAACAAATTTAAAACACCCAATTTATAAACAAATTAAACGATTTAAAAATTTAAAAGGGAGAGTTAGGCCAGGCCAGCCTGCTGAAATAAAAATGTTTTGAGAGCACGACGAAACGTGCACGGATCCGGGATCCTCCGTATCTCCGGGGGGAGCTCGTTCCAGATGGTAGGTGCCCCCACAGAGAAGGCTCTCCCCCTGGGGGCCGCCAGTCGACATTGTTTGGCCGACGGCACCCTGAGAAGCTCCTCTCTATGGGAGCGTACTGGTCAGTGAGAGGCTTTTGGTAGCAGAAGGTGGTCTCGTAATTATCTTTGTTGTTCTTCTCTTCACCCTTTCTAGAGTCGCAGCGTCTTTTTTTGGGGGGGGGGGGACTTTTCCTAATCCCTTTAACTCCAGTTTATAGGTTGCCAGGGCAGCTGGAAGAGTGTTGGAAGACAAAAATTCTAAATGGAATGCCTACCAGAAGATTCAAGCTCCAGGAACTGGATGCTGAAAGTCTGTGGCGAAATGGGGAGAGGCAAGAAAGAAATGGCTAACTTGGGAAATGGCTAGTGGGAGATTAGATTGAGATGAGAATGAACCACTGGAAAAAGAGACCATTCAATAGGTTTGCAGAGCCTGGCAATTACTGAGATACCAAGCAAAAAGAAGACTTTCAGCAGGGATGGTTTTCTATGATGTCAGAAAAGAGGCTCAACGTTCAAAAGGAACTTGATTGACAAATATTGGGCCCTATTCAACAAACTTGCCAGCAGTTCAATGGCAAGAAATATAGAGTTATGTTTATTTAAAAAAAAAAAAAAACCAGAAACTTGAGTATCAGATAGGTGGTATCTGGCTCAGCAGTAGAGAAGGTTCTGGGTATTTTGGTAGACCACAGATCAAGCGTAAGCTAGCAGGATGCTCAGCTGCCAAAAGAATTAATGAAATTGTGAGCTGTCAACAGAGGAATAGCATGGGAACTGATAGTTCCTCTCTGTACTCTGCTGGTCTGACCACACCTGGAATACTATGTCTACAGTAGTGGCCAAAATTATGGAAACCTTTTGGGAAAAGTTTGTTTTTGTGGTTTGATGGCTAATAACACCACTTTTTTTTTTTTTTTTTTGAGTTTCAAGATAATCCTATTCCACTGCTGGAATGGCCTGGAAATAGTCCAGACCTTAACTCAATTGAAAATCTATGGAGCCAACTAAAGAAACTTGTTAGTCAGAAGCAATAAAACCCTGTTAATAGAAGCAATCATTCAATCTTGGTTTCACATTATAACAGCTGCAGAACTAAAAGACTTGGTTCACTCCATGGGAAGACGTTGTAAGGCCGTAATTCATGCTAAAGGTTACCCAACTAAGTATTAACTGACGTGATAATTTTTGTATACCTCATTTTTTTCTGTAGTGATAATTTTTGTATATCTCATTTTTTTCTATGGTGATAATTTTTGTATATCTCGATTTTTCTACGTGTTTCACTTTTTTTCTTTATACCATAATTGCTGTTCTAATAGCAAATCCTTCATAAAAGTTATTGCATTACATTCTTGATTTAAAAAATTTATTATTGTATAGTCAGACCATGTATAATTGACACCGGATCGTATTATAGATTTTAAGTTGTTATTTATTATTTTATACTAGAAGTTTTAAGTATATATATACTGAGTGCTTTTATTTGTTCTGGTCTAAGACTATAATAATAATAAATTGAAATAAATTGATTAAATTATCTTTCCATTGATATATAATTTTATGGTACGACTCCCCAAAACAAGTGTTGTTATTAGCTAATTTTAGAAAATACACTTTTCCCAAAAGGTTTCCACAATTTTGGCCACTACTGTAGTTCTGGTCACAGCAATAGAAGAAGGGTATCTGTGAACTGGAAAAACTGAGGAATGCAAAGAAGAGAGAAGGGGGCTTGAAAGCTAAAAAGAACTGCTAAAGGAAGTGCAGACATTTAGCATAAGTAAGAGAAAGCTAAGGGAAGACACGATAGCATTCTTCTAACACTTAAAGGGCTGTCACAGAGAAGAAGAGGTGAATTTATTCACCATAGCTCCTAAGAGTAGGACACGAACAAATCAATGGAAGCTTTCCAAAAGAAAATCCAAACTCAAAATAAGAAGGAATTTTCTAACTTAAAAGTTATTAACCAGTGGAACAGACTCTCTCTCAAAGTTGTAGGTGCTTCATTAATGAACATCTGTTTGGGAAAGTCTGAGGATTTTTGGGGAGATTTGACTAGAAGACCTCCAATGGCCCTTCCAACTCCATGATTCCATTATCCTTTTTTTTCCAGAGTGAATTAAAGATTATTCAACCAAAGAAACTTGCTGGAGATATCACTATGTGATGAAACTGATACTTACACACCGAAAGATCAGAAGCAAATTCTTTTCTAATAGATTTTATTCGAATGATGTTAAAATCCAAAAGAAAAAACAATGCAGCTATAATTTCAAGACTGTGACATTGTTCTCTTTCATTTCATCATTTTACAGCATCTAGAAATTTAGGGTGTACTGTTTATGATTTAAAGAGGAAAACAAACTTTTGCCTCTCAATTTCTCTTCCTTTATGCCATCTAATATCCATATTTGTAAAAGCAGAAAATGCCATGGCATGAGCTATGCAGGCTACTAAGTCCATCAATCTGCTCAGTGGATAAATCCAAATTAAACCACTCCCAAAAGATGACCATCCAGCTTCTGTTGAACGTATCTAGCAATAGGAAGCATATCACTGCTCTAGGTAACCAGTTCTGATATCAAATTGCTTTGACTGTATGAAAGTTTTTGTTAATATTCAACTGGAATTTGCCTTCCTTTAATTTAAACCCAAACTACTGTATGTTCTATATTTAGGGATGATAACGAACAGATTCATATAATTTTTGAAGAGAGCCCTCTAGTTATCTTTCCCCAAGGGTATCCTATTCTCTCAATCTCCTCTGAAGAACACACCCCTCCTATATTCTCCTGAGATTTCCTGAATCATTTTCTCTATAACATAAGGAGTCTCATTCTATAGTACAGCAAGCCTGGATAATGTTGAATTTAGCTCCTCAGTCAGCCATGGAGCTTGCTGGATTTTTATAGATGCAGAACCATCTCCCAGTCTGATCTACCTTCCAAAGTTGCTGTGATGATAAAATGGGAAGGCATAAACTCCTCAAGGAATGTCAAAAATCAATCGTGAATAATACTGTATAGGCCTGAAGATATAGATGGCTAGAGAAGGGGTGGAATTTCCTGGATAAGCTCTGTCAAAATTCCTTTTCCTAATATGCTAAACTGTATACTTGCTGGCTCATTCCAACACTGGTATTTCTTTCCTCTCCAAGTTTTTATTTGAGAGCCATCAAAAAGTTCCCAGACATTTAATAGATGTGCATTCACATAAGCAGATCCTATTTCCTTCCAAATATAGCCTCCAAAAAAGTAAGCAAAACTTTATCCTGCATTCTCATGATTTATTTGACCTTTACCAGATTGCTTTTTTGTGGTTCACCAAATCCTTCTCTGGCAAACCCCTGTGAGAACAGTCAAACTGCTTCAAGACATCATGAAGTCGGATAGCTGAAGGAAATGAGAAGGCAGGTAACAGCAACAAAACGTCGCCCACCCTTCCTAGGAATTTGAAAGTAGGAGAATTTTACATTTAGTCATTCTTCAGTCTCTGAGTGCACAATTTCTCTACCATGGCAAAAAAAAAAAAAAGGAAACATTAACTTCTCACTTCTCCTCATCTTGAAAATCCCCACCACATCTGACAATTCTTATAAAACAGGGAGATCAAACTTGACTTCCTTGAGGGCCGCATCAGAGTTGTGTTTAACCTCAGGGGGCCAGGGTGGGCATGGCCAGGGTGGGCATAGCCAGGGTGGGCATGGCCAGCTCGACATCACTCATGTCGGGGGCACCTGTGGCCAGTGATAACAGCCTCCCGAGCTCTGTTTTCGGCTGCAATGGTGTCCTGCAACCCTCAGCCAGCAAAAACGGAGTTTGGGGGGGGGCTGCCCCTGGCCCTCACGAGCACCGTTTGCACTGGCAGAGGCACCACGGGCCAGTCCTTTGCTATGTCCAGGGTGGCCCCGCGGGCCAGATCTAAGCACCCAATGGGCCAGATCCGGCCCCCGGGCCTTGAGTTTGACACCCCTGTTATAAAACATCTACAACTTCTTCATTGCAATCATTTTATAGGTACTGTACTCTGACTTCAGATCGGTTGATATTTTGCTTCATTGGCTTTATGAAATGTATTTCTGCATTTTTTTTCCAGCAAAATGAGAAAAGTATTTTTTTTTCTTTTTAAAAAAGTGAATGTGAGTAATAACCATATAAATATGTGAGCACACATGCATGCAGACAAACACACTTGGCCTGAGTTTCTAGGAATCAGAAGGAAGCTTTATGGAACCTATGAAGATGGGTAATTCTGCCTCTTGGGAATATTTCAGGATCACTGGGGAGCAAGGTCAAACAAACACACTAAGCTTTTTTGTCTTTCCAAAGCTTTCAGATCTTGAACTTCAAGTGAATGGAATCAGCATGGAATACAACTGCCTAATGAAGAATGTAGTAAAAACAGACATTAAGATGGAAAACTCTCCTCTTACAATGTTTGCTTTGCAATCTTTCATCATTTTGGTTCCAGAGAGAAAGTTTGTCACATCTTAGCAGTTTCTTGACAGCTACATAAATTCATCTGTACCATTTGTTATTGCCACGTACTCTTCACACTAATGGAAAATCATAATGAGGTACAATCAGACTTTTACATGGTTATTCTACTTCATCTTTGTTCTTTTGGAGATATGAATTCAATGACATGGATTCCTCAGCATCTCTGGACCTACAATAGTGGCCAAAATTATGGAAACCTTTTGGGAAAAGTGTATTTTCTAAAACTAGCTAATAACACCAATTTTGGGGGGAAGTAGTATCATAAAATTATATATCAATGAAAGTTAATTTAATCAAGAATATAATGCAATAACTTTTATGAAGGATTTGCTATTAGAATAGCAGTTACAGTATAAAGAAGAAAAGTAAAACATGTAGAAAAAATGAGATATACAAAAATTATCACGCCAGTTAATACTTAGTTGAATAACCTTTAGCATGAATTATGTATTCCCATGGAGTGAACCAAGTCTTTTAGTTCTGCAGCTGTTATAATGTGAAACCAAGATTGAATGATTGCTTCTATTAACTGAGTTTTATTGCTGGGTTGCTTCTGACTAACAAGTTTCTTTAGTCGGCTCCAATGGTAGGATTCAGCCAGTTCGCACCACTTCTGGAGAACCAGTTGTTAACTTTCTGAACAGTTTGGCAAACTGGTTGTTGGAAGAAACCTTTAGGGCAGAGAACCGGTTGTTAAATTACTTGAATCCCATCACTGATCGGCTCCATAGATTTTCAGTTGGGTTAAGGTCTGGGCTATTCCCAGGCCATTCCAGCAATGGAATATGATTATCTTGAAACTCCAAAATAAAGTGTTATTAGCCATCAAACCTCAAAAATATGCTTTTCCCAAAAGGTTTGCACAATTTTGGCCACTACTGTACTGACCATAAAGGAATATCAGGGTGTGCATAGAATATTAATTATATATTCTGTAACCCTATTTGTCTGTTACTCTGCCTGCCGTTTTACAAGATTGCTACTTTGAAATCATTTACGTTTGCCTTTCTTCACAGGCATCCTTGCATAACATGCTGTGACTCTCTTTCTAGTAGGATGTAGACAGTTAGGTGCTAAGCTTTTTCTCTGCAATGGATTTCCTGTGAATAAATCCCCTTTCTATTATTTATTTATAAAATGCATAGGCCACCCATCTTACCACTAGGACACTCTGTGGCTTACAATCATTGAAAAATAAAAACTATATAAACTAAAAACATAAATAAGTTAGTATAAAAATCCAGAAATTCGTGGCCCAATTAAAAGATGGGGGAGTGAAGCAGGATGGGAGAGAGGTGGGATCTGTTATACCCAAAGGGTATAATTCTTTTAAATTTTTAAATTTTGTATTGGATGTTTTTTACTTGGCTGTGCACCACCCTGAGTCCACCAGGAGAAGGGCGGTATACAAATGTAAATAAAATAAATAAATAAATAAAATAAATTGATCAACCACTTCCACTGTGATACTCCCCAATGGTAGGTTGCTCCTGGTTCTGTCCGGTTCTTGTGAACCGGTACTAAAAGCAGCGGGAGGCTCTGGCCACCTGCCCGGATGTCATAAGGTACGATCTGCCCATGCGCAGAGGTGTGTGTGCTCCCATTGCAAACCAATAGTAAAGGTAAATAGAACCCACTCCTGATACTCCCCCATTAGAGCCCGAAGCTAACTGGCAGAACCAGCTTTTTAGGCTCTTCCAGAAAATCAGGAAGGTCAGGGCTGACCTCATACTGCAGGGAAAGATGTTCCACAGGACAGGAGCAAAGGCAGAGAAGTCCCTTCTGGATCCCACCAGCTGGAATAATTGGGCTGATGGGGTCAGCAGCATGCCTTTTTTACCAGAACACAATCCATTAGACAATCCCTCAAGTAAACTGAACCTATGCCACGAAGGGCTTTAAAAATGATGACCAATGATGATTTTTTTAACATCTCCCTGCAATTGGCTAGAGTTCCATCTTACTTGAAAGCAGCCACGATCATTCCAGTTCTGAAGAAAGCAGCCATAAACAGCCTGAATGACTATAGACCCATTGCACTGACATCTACAGTGATGAAGTGCTTTGAGAGAGTGGTTTTACAACACCTCAGGTCCTGTCTTCCATTAAATTTTGATCAACACCAGTTTTCTTATAGAAGCAACAGGTCGACCGAAGACGCCATCACCACTGCTTTACATACTGCATTGAGACACCTCGAGAAATCTGGGAACTATGTCAGAATGGTTTTTATGGACTATAGCTCGGCCTTTAATACCATCTTACCAGGCATTCTCATTGAAAAACTGACTGACCTGAATTTCCCTCCCTTCATTTGTGACTGGGTCAAAGACTTCCTGACAGACCATCCACAAACAGTAAGGGTTGAGTCTCTGACATCTTCCACCCTGAAGCTCAGCACAGACTCCCCTCAGGGCTACGTGCTCAGCTCCTTCCTGTACTCGCTGTATACATATGACTGCATATTCTCGAATCCATCTAACACCATAATAAAGTTTGCAGATGACACATTGGTGTTGGGGCTTATAACTGGAGGGGATGAATCAGCATACAGGGAAGGTATCCATATGGTGTTCAAAAAACAACTTACATCTAAATACTAGCAAGACAAAGGAGATGGTGCTAGATTTCTGGAAGCACAGAGAGGAACCTGCCCCACTGTATATTGAGGGGGGCAGTGTGGAGAGGGTTTCCTCTTTTAAATTCTTGGGAGTGATCATTAGTCAAGATCTCACCTGGAAAAACAACACGTCCCTGTGGTTAGTAAGGCTCAACAGAGACTTCATTTCCTTAGAGTCCTGGAAAAAATCAGGTGGAACAACGGCTGGTGACTTCTTTCTATCAGTCTATGATAGAAAGTGTCCTCACATACTATATAACAGTATGGTATGCTGGTCTAATAGTCGCGGACAGGAAGGCACTACACAGAGTGATCAATTCGGCACAAGAAACCATTGGTTGCTCTCTAACACCACTAGATGACATTGCCAGGTGTCTCTGCTTTAGCAGACTAAGAAAGATACTCAGAGTCTCTTCACACTTCTACCATCAGGCAGAAGACATCAAAGCATAGCCAGCCGGACAAACAGGTTTAAAAACAGCTTCTACCCATGGGCTGTCAGACTCTTAAACACAATCACAATAACTCCACGCATGTACAGAAACTTACAATTAGTCTTTTTTCCCCAATTACTTGTATAGGGATTATTCTCTATACTATTTATGTTGTTTTGTATTTTCTGTTATGGATTGCACTAGAGAGGCTAAACCAATTTCATTGTATATAAGATGTACAATGACAATAAAGGCTATACTATAACATCTTGAAATGCACACGGAAGCAGACCGGCAACCAATGCAGCTCGTGGAGCAGTGGTGTTACATGGACCATTCTTGAGACCCCAGGAACTGACCCCAGCACTTTGCAACTTCTGAATGTTCTTCAAGGGTAGCCCCATGCAGTGGTTCAGTCGAGAGATGACTTGGGCCTGAATGACTGAACACAGGGACTCCCAATCCAGGAATGGCCACAATTGGCATCCACCCAAAGTTGTGCAAAAGCTGTCCTAGCCACTACAGTCACCTGCTCTTCAAGCAGGAGTCGCAAGTTCAAGGAACCCCCAAATTGCTAACTGGATCCATCTGGGGTAGTGCAACTCCATCCAGAATTAAAGATGACAAAGTTCCAGATCTTGGCAGCCCATGCACTCAAAGCCTTTCGGTCTTGCCAGGGTTCAGTCAAAGCCTGCTGTTTTTATCCAGACCCTCCCCCCAACCTCCAGGCACTGCAAAAGGGCAGCCACAGCATCATTTGGATCACCAGGGATGGAGATATAAAGCTGACTACCATCAGCATACTGTTGACACCTCAACCTACGGTGACAGATGATCTCACCCTGAGGCCTCACCTAGATGTTTAAAAGGAGTGGAGAGAATACTGAGCCCTATAGCAGGCCACAAGATACTAGCCGAGCTGAACCTCTTACTCCCAATTGGAACTGGCCTTGGAGAAAGGAACTGAACCAGCCTGAGACTATACCACCGAGCCCCAGTCCACATAGCCAGCCCAAAAGGATGCCATGATCAGTGGTATTGAAGGCCATTAAGAGGTCAAGCAGAGCAAGGATGAGTACACTACCCCCATCCCTCTCTCACCGAAGATTATCAACAAGCATGACCAATGCCATTTCTGTCCCATAATCAGGCCTGAATACGAACTGGAAGATTTTATCGTTAAAAAATCTGCTTCACTAATCCTAGCTGTCATTAAATTCTCACTCTCAGGAACATACACACAGAGAGAGAGAGAACATGTCAATGACCTATAGAATTATGGGCTACAATAGCTGTAGTACATGTGTAATGAATTTTGTTGCAGAATAGAGAAATTGTGAGTCTACCAAGCAGCTCAAGGAAACCATAGAAGTGAAAGCAGACAAGTTTCAAAAATGGAATCAGGGAATGTTCACTTATGGAGCAGCTGGAAAGACCAGAATTCTCCCTCTGATCATTTAGTGATCCTGAAGTCTCAAAGAATTGCCTTTGTGCTAGATAGGAGAAACCCATAGAAGAAAAGAGCCAGGGACATTATAAATGGTAGTATAGAAAGTTAGGACCCACCCCTCTCCTAGAAGAATGAAATATTCTAGGAAATTTTAAAAAGCCAGAATATTTCCCTGGATGAAAAAAGGAGAAACGCTCCCAGCATCTCCCCCAGCAGATATTTGGCCCAGCATCTCCCCCAGCAGTTATTTGGCCCATTGTCTACAAGACAATTAGATCTTCAGCTCCAGGGTGATGGAATTAAGACATGACCCTCCAGGACATTATAGGATTAGCCCTCTACCCATCTAGCAGCAGGGCTCACTGCATTGTGAAATCACCTGGGGACATTACATCAGCCCAAGGTTCAACCAAACTTGATTCAGACAAACATGATTCCACATGGGAGTCTGACTACAGCCAATAGAATACATGCTCTTGCCACAGGAACAGGAAGCTGAAGTTCAAAGTCCAAGAGAGGGTATAAATACCTCTCCCTCTCCACTCCATGTCTTCAGCTGCCCAAGACCTCCTGTCCATCAATAA